TATTAGTAATGTAAGAGAGGGAGGGGGCAGTTGTAGGTAGAAAGAAAATCTGGACCTTGTCTTACGCTGACGACATTGCTTTAATATCCACGAATCATGGTGCATTGAGAGATATGATAAAAGTGTTGGAAAGATATTTAAGAAAGATGAGTTTGGAGCTAAATGTAAGTAAGTCTAAGTATACGAGATAAAACTAGAAAAACTACGGGATGGGTACATAAGAAACGAATTATGGAGGAAAATTATTTTAAAAATTGGAGCAAAAAACAGGCATGACAAAGAGATGACAAAAGCTTTAGATGACTTAAAGGTGAATCAGGAACAACTGAATGAATGACGCAGAATGGAGGTAGGTATCGAGGAAATGTTGAGAATAAGATGTAAACAGATGATAAGGAGAGAAGATCTAAGAAATATTGATGTCGAAAAAAAAATGTATGAAAGCTCTGCTATTGGAGCATTGGTAAGGAGAGTGTAGATTATTTGTATGGAATAAAGGATGTAGACATAATAGTAAGATGAAATGAAACTAGAAAATATAAGTATTGGATGAAGAAATAGAAAAGGGTATGTAAAGATTTGGATGAATGCAAGGGAGTATTAAGTGGGAGTGATGATGGACTAATCCTGTCCATTTAATTAAAAAAAGAACGGTTTTGGTTTAAGGGGATATGACTATGATTGCCTGTAATTTGGTAGACAGGGAGAACCTATAACATAAAAATAGAAAAACTATATCTCAATCACTTCAAACAGAAAAATATGAATCATACTTGATCTTCGCAATTGGTGATATAGTGCAAACATCACTACTAACCTAGAAAAATTCGAATATTTAAAAAATTAACAAATGCCTGTGCAAGGTGTTCTTAAAAAATATTTCATAGTTATGTAAATGTAGAAAATTAAATAGGCACTACGAAAAAGTATTTATTTGAAAAAAGTATTTGCATTTTGTATTTAAATACTTTTAAAAAACCATTTTGCACATCTTTGCATAATAGAAATAGGTTGTGCATTAACACATTCCATTTTCTATGAAATTGGACAATCCTATTTTAAGGTAACCTTTTATATACTTAATANGATATAGTGCAAATACCACTGTTAGTTTGAAAAAACTCTAATGTTTAAAAAATGAGATAATGCCTGCAAGGTTTTCTTAAATAATATTTTATACTTAAATAAATTTAGAAAACTAAAAAGGTGTAAGTACTACAAAAAAAATATTTTGCTTTAAGCATGTTAAATACAAATGCGAAATCTATTTTGTATTTTACATTTGAAATAACAAATCAAAAATGTATTTGCATTTTGTATTTAAATATCTTTAAAAAAAACATTTTGCACATCTCTAACTGCTACTCGCCATTAAAAAGGAAATATCGACAGTAGCCGAATGGTTAAAAATGATCAAAACTATGGACAACGTCGGTAATTTATAACCGGTGCCGCATCGTCGATTCATTTTGTAATATTATTGAATAGATCAGGACGGTGCTTTAAATTTTCCGAAACGTTACCACGAATGTTTAATTAACGATGATCTATATATAACCTGTCGTGACATCGTGCGGCTATGACACTCGATTAATTGGCCTTTTACATTACGCACAATTCCAATATTGGAGGACATTGCGGCCTGGACTATTTATCCGTACTTTAATTTAAATATAAATTGGTTAATTACAACGGCCCATGTCACACTCGGTCGGACAGGACTGTTCATGTTCAATTTATAGCGAACAAGATGCCAATTATCGCCTGGTTTATACAAAGGGGAAGAGACATACACTATGTATACAATCATGCATACACCTATATACATGCTCGTTTACATAACAAAGTCTAATCGATTTCTACTTTCTATCCTTCGAAACTGCATACACGTAGATATGCACGCGGCAAAACGACATCACAGGCTTTCCATTATGAGATTAAATGAACTCATCAATCGAAAAATAAAAGAGAAACAATTGAAGCGGTATGGAATAATGTAGACTTAGATTAACTGCACTAACATAAATTGCATGTTTATAAAACGTTCACTTAAACATTTTTATCTTTGTCCTAAAAGAGATACCTATTATCATTATCATCATAAGGTCGCCAGTCCTAGGACAGGTTGGACACGCACCTCCACTCATTCCAATACTAAAAAACAAGTATATAGTTTGAGAGAAAATTTGGAATTTGACCAAAAATATTGAATAAAATAAGAAATAGCGAATATGGAAAATTTTTAATTGACTTTTGACAGTGAATATGCCTTGATTTCAACTTCGAAACAAAAAAAATTTAGTTTCAATCTCTATTAATAAATGAGCCTAAAACGTTTTAATATGTTTAAATAATAATTAAAACCCATTTTTGGACAAAGTGCTGGTGCTGCAGCTGTGCATTATTTAGTTTTATCGCCTATGGCAAAAGGTAAACTTGTCAAATTGATAAGCATAAGAAATCAAAGGTCAAAAAAGCTATTTTTAGGCTTGTTTCACCGAGCAATTGCCCAAAGTGGCTGCGCACTAAATTCTTGGGCTCAAGGTAGGCGAATATGTTGGGAGTTGGCGAAAATATTAGAATGTAATGTTGCAACCGAGAAAGAACTTCTAAAAATTTTAAAAGAAATGTCGGTAGAAAAATTATTCGCAGCCCAAGAAGAAATAAAGGATGTAAGCAATAAGAAATTTATTTTGATACTGACCATAATCTACGTACTTGAGGCCGGTCAAACGGTACTTAAAGTTCACAATTTGGGTAGATAGCAATTTTTTTTATTGTGTAAGGAGTGTATTAGGAACCATAAAACTCAGTCGCAACCCTCCCCCCCACAATTAGATTTTAGAAGAAGTTTATTTATTCTCGTAGCTAACCAAGTTCCAGCACAAAAAATGTGTCTAATTTATTAATTAATCTATAACCTATAGCCATACTTTACTTAAGGNTTAATTTTCATCAATGAACAATTGCGTAAACATTTTTAAAATTCATGAAGTTAACTGATGATGTTAACGATTATAAACACTTGAATAGTTACTCTGCATATAGGTAATATATTAAGCAACAATAGTTCCTGTATTATACAAAAACTAAGTACGTACGTGTCAGAAAATTTTGAGTCCAATATTCAGTTTAATCTCACTACATTGCAAAACGAAATAAACGTAAATTACGAGGTGCAACAATAAGAAATCTACCGAAAAGTTTGTTCACAAACATATCGAAAATTAATCTGTAAAAACAATAAAATTAGTTTAGGTGGAGATGATGAATTGTTATTGAAATTGTATCGGAAAGAATTGTTAATTAAAAGATTATTAACCATTGTCGGTGAAAAATTAAAGATTATCATTACTTTTGATTATTTTAATGCATGAACAAAGCAATAACATGCTTCCATATGCTTGAAGTAGGACTGCAAAAAAACTCATATAAACTTATCCTATAAAAAATGGAAGTGAACATCATACGTAATTATTTATTTTAATCACCCTACTCTGACCTTTTCAATAAAGTATTCTTATATAACAAAAAATTGCAAAATCAGTTATTCAGCAGGAGAGGACCGTGCATAGGGGGGGGGCTTCAGCCAACACTACTCTGGGGCTTCCTTATCTAATGAATCAAACTAATTACCATTTTGTCAAAAAACTATCTTCGTTATTAACAGGAAAAAAATTAAGGCAATATGTTAAGAATTGTAAATGTTAGTTCACGTTCTTTCGGGTTGCAAATTTTGTATATCTCTTTGAAAATATTTTCCATTTGGTCAAGTTTAAGGATGGCTGGATGCACCGGCATTAGTCAAATTAGTTTATAGAGGTAACGGTAACACAAGTTTAAATCTAGAAGAATCCTTTACGATACCCAATAATACAGTTGTTCTCAATTTTATTTTGGAGTGGTTTATTTTATGAGTTTTACGATTTTGAATGTGCCGTTGTTGTTTATTGATATCTCTAAATTTCACAGGCTATAAACACCCCTCTCTTGCAATCTTTTGAGATTGAAAGCCCCGCCTTGTAAGTGTCCACCGAAATGTTTAAAAGGGGTCAATAATCTACACTTTACACAATTGTTTGTGGTTTTATTATATAAATTGTACAGCAACCTTTTCTTCCCTTACATACCAGAATTTTTGTTTTACTTTTATTTATTTTCATACAGTACTGCTTTGTCAATACCGTTTCCATTTTATTTAAAGCTATCTCTAACTCTTCCTTGCTAGATGCTAATACTGCTATATCATCTGCAAATCTAAGCATACTAATCTTTTGCCCCTCTATATCTATCCCTACAGTTGTACTGTCTTTAATGATGTTGATCGTGTTTTCGATGAATAGATTGAAAAGCAACGCTAACAGTATGCATCCTTGCCTGACTCCTTTCCTAATATTTACTTCTCTACGTTGGTGCTCCAGCTCTGTAACTGCCTGTTGCTCTTTATACAAACTAACTATCACTCTTCTATCTCTGTAACTCATCCCTACATTTATATATATATTTAACTTTTTGTCCCATTTAACATTGTCAAAAGCTTTTTCTAAATCTACAAATCCTTTTTCTTTTTTCTAACGTTTGTTACCCGTAAAAAAGGCTAGAACGGCCTCCCGCGTTCCTCTATTTCTTCTAAACCCAAATAGATCTTCCCCTAATAGTTCTTCCGCCCCTTTTTCCATCCTCTGTACAATTCTAGTTACGATTTTTGACGTATGGGAAGTTAGGCTATAATTGTTCTAAATGGCTTGCACCTATCCGCGCCTCCCTGTTTAGGTATGGTTACTACCGCGTTCCGTTTATAATCCTCCGGGACTTTACCCGTCTCGTAAATGGGACTAACTGGCTTAAACATATGCCCTCTAACCTCTTGTTCTGCATATTTTAAAATTTCCCCCTGTATTCCATGTTTTTGACGTTTACTTGAAAATTATCGAAAGCTTACAGAAGCGAATTTGTTAAATCGATTATCACCTAGCTACGTCAAAAATACGTCAAGTTAATAAAATCAGATCAGTCACATTCAAACGGTGTCAGTGATAAAGTGAGTGGCATCGTCAAAGCACTGGAACACCAGGACAAAATTGATAAGATGGCAGTGAAGCGAACACAGAACAAATCGATAACCGGAGATTTGAAATCCAGCCTGCATCCGAAACTTGAAGATGATGAAACGTTACTAGCGGTCGACTTTGAAGTGTTCGGCAAAGTGCAAGGGGTCTTCTTCCGGAAACACACGATGTTGGAATGTAGAAAATTGGGTGTCAAAGGCTGGGTCATGAACACTCCTAAAGGTACCGTCATTGGAGTGTTGGAAGGCGAAGAAGAAAAAATTCAACGAATGCTCTACTGGCTGCAGTTTAAAGGAAGTCCCAAGTCGATCATTGAGAAAACAAAATTTTCGAACAAGAGAGAAATTCCAAAATTGACTTTCACAGATTTCACCATAAGAAAATAAAAAACCATTTATCTATTATTAAAACATCACATTTTTATACGTCCTTTTACAAAAAATTTTACAAAGAAAAAATAAAGCAGCAGTGTCAAAATGTGAATAATTTTGAAAAAAACAATTATGAAAATGGGATTGATTATTTATTTGATGGATGTGTATGTGTTGGACGGTACCTATTATAAACTTCTTAATAAAAAGACACTCTAAACAGAAAAAGTTGTTTTAATTGTTCTACATAATAGTAATTTTCATCTTCTTTAATTAAATAATTTTGAGCAAAATATACATGTGTAAATGTATCGGTTAAGATAATTTTTGTAGTATTATAATGAGTGGCCTTTAATAAAAAGAAGTCGTTTCTANTAGAGATAGACCTAGATTAGATTACTGCTCGCTAATAGTTAAGGATGTGGGATGTTCTAGTTTTAGGAAAATGCGAAGATTAGCTCAGAATACGAAGAAGTGGAGGTGCGTGTCCAATCAGTCTTAGGACTGACGACCTTATGATGATGATGAATTACCAACGGAATATAAAGGTTAGAAAATTAAAATAAATTATTGAATTCTAAAAGTGGATATAACTCATAACACTGTGAATTTTTAAAACTTGCCTGAATTTTCAAGAAATAAAATTATAGCTTAATACTATTAAATCAGCTTTAGTAATTTTTGCTGCCTCATTAATTTAGGTACTTTAGCATTATCTCCAGGTATGCATAAGTAGTTTTTGTTCATAAAAATTAGTGAAAATGTCTAGAAAATAACACCACACCAAAAATTGAAAATTAAATGAAAGCTAAAAATTTCAGTAGTTAATGCAGCTAAAAATTTGGACAATGTTATTTTTAAGCGATCATTAGTACCACTACTCGATTCGGTCAAATCAAGTGGTCGTAAGCGATCTTCCGAAGCTTAAAAGAATGTTATAAAGGTAACTTTGATAGAAAATAAACTGTCGACGAACATCATATAATAACGCCGAAAGAAGACCGTACGTGACCGGCTCGAATCGGGCGCAAAAATAATAGTCTTCCGGGAAATCAAGACGCTCCATCATGAATTATTTATCGTGAAACGTTCGTACGAATGCCGATGCCGAGCAGTGCCGCCGCCCTAGCGAACACCGCACCGTGCCGCGCCGCATCGTACCGCCACACAGTCCAATGCTGTACGTAACCCGTTGTAACTCGGAGCAGCGCTCGTTTGTTTTGTTGTAATTTACTCAGCGGAAGAGACTTTTCATTACATCGTTGTTTTAGTCGGTGGTTCTTTATTTACCAATGGCGAAAAAGGAAAGCATTCGACGCTTGCTGATTACCATATCTTGCTCTCGGAGGTTCCTGACGCAAAAACAAAACGCTTCAATTTCACTACGCACATGAGTGCGCATTGAACTTGTTAGCGAACAGGGTAACATGTCAAGCATTTTCAACCTATGAGCGCATTTTCGTCGATTTAGCCTTCTCTAATCACCTGCTACGGCCCATTCTAAAAATGTTTGTTGCTAGAAATTACAGATTAAGTTATTTCAAATATGTATCTCTGTATTTATCAATATAAAAATATTGATTCCAGTCACCCTACCGCCTTTGTATTTTTTCTATGAAAGTAATCACAGATTCTACAAAATTACCGTCAAAGTACCAAGTGAATCCTTGTCGTTATGACGTCAAGGAACACAGTAACCGAAATCATAAGCATTATGGTCGACAATTACCAAACAGTCTGATACAAATGAACTGCGAGAAATTCAGTTTTACTATGTACATTAGTGCGCATTTAAATTATCAGCGAACAGCTTAACCTCAAGGTTTTTAACCTATGAGCACATTTTCGTCTATTTAGCCATCCTATTATATAATCAGCACGCACACCACCAATAAAATAAACTCAACGGCGTCTTAGGAGAGTACTTAAGCGCCCCCTCCCCCTCATAATGTTGTATCAATTGACGTTTTGTAAATGACTAATAAAACCAATTAAATTGAGCTTAGAACCCCAACGACAACTGTACAAACACCTGCTACGACCCATCCTAAAAATGTTTGTTGTTAAAAATTACAGATTAACTTATTTCAAATATGTATCTCTGTATTTATCAATATAAAAATATTGATTCCAGTCACCCTACCGCCTTTGTATTTTTTCTATGAAAGTAATCACAGATTTTTACAAAATTACCGTCAAAGTACCAAGTGAATCCTTGTCGTTATGACGTCAACGAACACAGTAATCGAAATCATAAGCATTATGATTATGACAATTACAAAATAAATGAACTGCGAGAAATTCAGTTTTACTATGCACATGAGTACATTGAAATTGTCAGCAAACAGCGTAACCTCGAGGTTTTTAACCTATGAGCACATTTTCGTCTATTTAGCCATCCCTATAATAAAATAAACTCAACGGCGTCATAGGAGCGTACTTAAGCGCCCCCTCCCCTCATATTGTTTTATTAATTGTCGTTTTCTAAATGACTTATAAAACTAATTAAATTTAGCTTAGGACCCCAACGATAACTGTACAAACACCTGCTACGACCCACTCTAAAAATGTTTGTTGTTAAAACTTACAGATTAAGTTATTTCAAATATGTATCTCTGTATTTATCAATATAAAAATATTGCTTCCTGTCACCCTACCGCTTTTGTATTTTTTCCATGAATGTAATCACAGATTTTTACAAAATTACCGTCAAAGTACCAAGTAAATCCTTGTCGTTATGACGTCAAGGAACACAGTAACCGAAATCATAAGCATTATGGTCGACAATTACCAAACAGTCTGATACAAATGAACTGCGAGAAATTCAGTTTTACTATGTACATTAGTGCGCATTTAAATTATCAGCGAACAGCTTAACCTCAAGGTTTTTAACCTATGAGCACATTTTCGTCTATTTAACCATCCCTATAATAAAATAAACTCAACGGCGTCATAGGAGCGTACTTAAGCGCCCCATCCCCTCATATTGTTTTATTAATTGTCGTTTTCTAAATGACTTATAAAACTAATTAAATTTAGCTTAGGACCCCAACGACAACTGTACAAACACCTGCTACGACCCACTCTAAAAATGTTTGTTGTTAAAACTTACAGATTAAGTTATTTCAAATATGTATCTCTGTATTTATCAATCTAAAAATATTGATTCCTGCCACCCTAGCGACTTCATATTTTTTCCTTGAAA